AATTCCTTCCCCTTGGGGCTGTCAGGCACTGGGGGGGGCTGCCCAGGGAAGGGGTCGAGTCCCCACCCCTGGGGGTGTTTAAAAGCCGGGCAGATGCGGTGCTTGGGGACAGGGTTTAGTGGTGGACAGGTACGTTTGGACTCAATGATCTTAAAGCTCTTTTCCAGCCAAATGTTTCTATGATTGCCTGCTCTGAGGCAAGGCTCCGTCTGTTCAGGCTGCTGCTTTGTGGAGATCACAACCCCTTCTACTGACCTCCTTGCCGCTCTTTCCCCAAGAGCCCGCGCCGGCCATTGCAGCTTTCCACTCATTTAAGCTTCCCACCGCGCCGCTGTGGTCCCAGTGGGGTCATACCTTTGCTGTTGTGTGCTGACAGCTGATTCTTCCTGCTTGTTCCCCTGTTGTGTGCATGTTTGTGTGGACTCTCGAGATGGGGACCTTCCATGGGGGTGTGAAGGAGTCTCCCCCATTGTCCTGTTGCCCAGACATCCTCACTATCCCCTGCTTCTGCCCCACTCTGCCTGGCCCCTGCTGGCCCCCCTGCTCCGAGTCCCCACCAGTTCCCTCCGGGTCCCTCCCACCCCTCCCTGACCTGTGCCCACCTTGCAGGCACCCCTTTTCGGGCCGTGATGTGCCCATCTCTAACGGCTCGGGTTTCCTGGTGTCTCCGGATGGGCTCATTGTGACCAATGCACATGTGGTGGCGAACCGGCGGCGTGTGCGGGTGAAGCTGGCCAGCGGCGAGCAGTATGATGCCGTGGTGCAGGACGTGGACCAGGTTGCAGACATCGCTACCATCAAGATCAAGCCTAAGGTGTGCATTGTCGTTGTGGAGACGCTCCCTTCGTTCCTTTCCATCCGCTCACGGACCTCCTCTCTTCCAGCACCCGCTGCCCACTCTGCCCCTCGGGCGCTCCTCTGAGGTGCGGCAGGGAGAGTTCGTGGTGGCCATGGGCAGCCCGTTCGCCCTGCAGAACACCATCACCTCTGGCATCGTCAGCTCGGCCCAGCGGGGCAGCCGGGAGCTGGGCCTGACCGCCTCCGACATGGAGTACATCCAGACCGATGCTGCCATCGATGTAAGGGGAGCTTGTGGTGCGTGGCGGGTTGGCACCTCATCCTGGCTGCCTTCTCTGGGGAGGGGGGGGCTGGCGGAGGGCTGGGGGTGGCAGGAGGTCAGAGCAGGCTGGACACAGAGCAGCGGGGGTGTTTCTTGGCCTGACCCTGTTCCCTGGGCTCTGCCTCCCTGCCGCGGGTCCTCCCGTGCGAGGATGTCGCTTTCATGGTCTGTTTACTGCTCTCTCCTGTGCTGCAGTTTGGGAACTCCGGGGGCCCCCTCGTCAACTTGGTAAGTTCTCCCGCTTGCAGCCTCGCTGTCAGGGGCAGAGGGGTGCCACGTGCCCTCCAGTCTGTGCGCCCCGGGGCTCAGTGCCCCGGGTGGGAGCACTTGTGGGTGCTACAGCTGCTGGGAGGAAGGGACTGTGCTTGCACCAGGCTCCTTGTGAGGAGGAGCAGGGGATCAGCCCAGTGGGGGAGCCCTCTGCAGCCCCTGTTTCAGGGAGCCTGAGCCGATGGGACTCCAGCACGGTGGAGCCAAGCCCTACCCTGCTGATGCTGGCAGGGCAGAGGGAGCGGCTGCGTGGGCTGAGGCCTGTGGGACCAGTCCCTGCCCAGCCTTGGCAGGATCGGGCAGGCTGCAGAAGCAGCAGGCTGGGAAGGGATGGGCGCAAAGGCGGGACTGCAGGCTTGGCTGGGGCTCCCCTCTGCATGGCAATGCAGGCTGGATAGCACGGTGCCCTCTCCCCTGCAGGACGGCGAAGTGATCGGGGTGAACACCATGAAGGTGACATCGGGCATCTCTTTTGCCATCCCCTCAGACCGCCTGCGCAAGTTCCTGCAAAAGGAGGAGCAGCGCAAAAGTGAGTTGGGTGCCTCCCTGCTCGGGTGCTGGGGGAAGGAGGCCAGGAGGAGGAGGATGAAAGGGAAGCTCTGGCACGGCTGGGCTCTGG